CCTCACACCATACACAAAAACTAATTCAAAATGGATCAAAGACCTAAACAGAAAACAGAAAACTATAAAAGATCATAGAAGAAAAAATAGGATCAACTCTGGAGACCCTAATACACTGCATTAACAGGATACAAACCATAACTAACAACATACAAACTCCAGAAGATAAGCTAGATATCTGGGATCTTCTAAAAATTATACACTTATGCTCATCAAAAGACTTCACCAAAAGAGGAAAAAGAGAACCTATAGACAGGGAAAAATTCTTGGCTATTACAAACCTGACGAAGTTCTAATCTGTAAAATCTACAGGAAAATCCAACACCTGTACAACAAAAAGACAAATAATCCAATTAAAAAACGGGCAAAGGAAATGAACAGACACTTCAATGAAGATATTCGAGTGGCCAACAGACACATGAGGAAATGCTCCAAACTCCCTTAGGGACTGAATTACTGGGCTGAGGGCTGTGGAGACCATGGTTTCAGGGAACATCTAGCTCGACTGGCATAACATAGTTTATAAACAATATGTTTTACATTCTACTTTGGTGAGTAGCATCTGGGGTCTTGAAAGCCTGTGAGGGGCCATCTGAGATACTCCACTGGTCTCGCCCCTTCAGGAGGAAGGGAAAATGAAAAAAAATTAAAGACAGAAGGGAAAGATTAGTCTAAAGGACTAATAGACCACAACTACCACAGCCTCCACCAGACTGAGTCCAGTAAAAGTAGATGGTATCCGGCTACGCCCACTTACTGCTCTGACAGAGATCACAATAGAGAGTCCTGGACAGAGCTAGAGAAAAATGTAGAACAAAATTCTAACTCAGAAAAAAAGACCAGACTTACTTGCCTGACAGAGACTAGAGAAACCCTGAGAGTATGGGTCCCGGACACCCTTTTAACTGAGTAATGAAGTCAGTCTGGAGGTTCTCCTTTTTAGCCAAAGATTAGACAGACCCATAGGAGAAAACGAGACTAAAGGGGCACACCAGCCCAGGGGCAAGGACTAGAAAGCAGGAGAGGACAGGAAAGCTGGTAATGGGGAACCCAAGTTCCAGAAAGGAGAGTACTGACATGTGATGGGGTGGTTAACCAATGTCATAAAACAATATATGTACTAACTGTTTAATGAGAAGCTAGTTTGTTCTGTAAACCTTCATGTAAAGTACAATTTAAAAAAAAGGAAATATAAAAACATCTGACATGTTCTATCAAATTATTTAAAGTCATTTCTTATGAGTTATATCTATTAAGACAAGTTATACACCAGCTTGAGATATATATTATGCAGAAAAAAGATCGTGATTATTATAGATGCTAAATGATAGCTGATCACCCCAGGCTTATGAATAATAGTTACTATGATATTAATTTAGGTTATAAGTATTTATGTATAAGCTAGATAATTCAATCAAATAGAATTGTATTCATATACTATATCTGTCTTAGTCATCTAGTGCTGCTATAACAAAAGTACCACATGTGGATGGTTTTAACAAAGAGAAATTCATTCTCTCACAGTCTAGTAGGCTATAAGTCTGAATTCAGGGCATCAGCTCCAGAGGAAGGCTTTCTCCACTCTGGAGGAAGTTCCTTGTCATCAATCTTCCCCTGGTCTAGAAGCTTCTCCAAGCAGGAACCGTGGGTCCAAAGGTTGCGCTCTGCTCCCAGCACTGCTTTCTTGGTGGTATGAGATTTCCACGTCTCTCTGCTTGCTTCTCTATTTTTCAAAAGATTTTGGCTTAAGACACTATCTAATCTTGTAGATCTCATCAATATAACTGCCACTAATCCATCTCATTAACATCATGGTGATAGGCTTTACAACACAAACGGAAATCACATTAGATGACAAAATGGTAGACAATCATACAGTACTGAGAATCATGACTTAGCCAAGTTGACAGATATTTTGGGAGGACACGATTCAATCCATGACATTCTACCTTTTGGCCCCACAAAATTCATGGTCTTGCCACATGTAAAACATATTCACCCTATCATATCAGAGCAAAAGTCTTAAATCAGCTCCAAGTCCGAAATCCAAAAATTCCTCTTCATTGGTGAAATCTAGAATAGAAGTTATCTGCTTCTAAATGTACAATGGTGCAATAGGCAGGCACAAGCTAGACATTTCTATTAAAAATGGAAGAAATTGCAGGGAAAGAAGTCATAACAGGCACTAAGCAAGTCAGCAGAACACATTGCATTAGCCCTCAAGGCTTTGAAAATAATCCGCTGTTGTATGAGACCATTTACACAGTGGCCCTGCCCTCCAGACTCTGAGTGGAGGCCCCTTGGCCTTGGGCTTCAGCTCTGTCTTCCAGACCCACTGGAATGGCGACTCTGTATTCTTGGCTTTAGGTGCACCATTCTTCTAGTCCTTCTGAGTGGCGACTCCACCCTTAGAAACACCAGAAGCCATGGCTTCACCCTTTAAAACTCCAGAGTTTGTGGCTATACCTTTTGAGACCGAGGCAGCTCAGCTTCCTGTGTTCCTTGTCTCTTCAGCTTCTGCTTCCTGGTTTCTTGGCCTCTTGGCCTCTCGAGCCTCACGCCCGCATCTGCCCTGCTGGGGCGAGTGTTCCAAAGCTCTGTAGCTCTACAGATAAGTGCCTGGAGGCACCCCACTCTGCCAGGAAGCCTCCTGCACAAAGGCACTTAGCTCTCCCGCTCTGTGGGTTGGCTCTAGAGTCATCTCGCGTTGGTCTCCTGGTTCTGCTGCTGCCGGTCCTCTGCTGCTGCTTCTCATTATCTGCACCATCTCCAGTATTAACAGTTCTCCTCACTTCCTTCTGAATCCTCTATTCATTTAGTTTCAAAACCGCTTCCACATTTTAGGTATCTGTTAGAGCAGCACCCACTCTCGGTACCAAATTCTGTCTTAGTCATCTAGTGTTGCCATCACACAAATACCACAAGTGGATGGTTTCAACAAAGAGGAATTCATTCTCTCACAGTCTAATAGGCTACAAGTCCCAATTCAGGACATCAGCTCCCAAGGAAGGCTTTTTCTCTCTGTCTGCTCTGGAAGAAGGTCCTTGTCATCACTCTTCCCCTGGTCTAGAAGCTTCTCCAAGCAGGAACCCCAGGTTCAAAGTGTGCGCTCTGCTTCTGGCACTGCTTTCTTGGTGGTGTGAGGTCCCCAAGTTTCTCTGCTCACTTCTCTCTTTTATTTCTCAGAAGAGATTGGTTTAAAACACTATCTAATCTTGTAGATCTCATCAGTATAACTGCTGCTAATCCATCTCATTTAACATCATAGTGATAGGATTTACAACACAAAGGGTAATCACATCAGATGACAAAATGGTAGACAATCATACAATACTGGGAATCACGACTTAGCCAAGTTGACAGATATTTTTGGGGTCACAATTCAATCCATGACCATATCCTATTTCATAAATCTAATCTTTTATTAACCTTTCTTTTCCTTAAGTATAATCATAAATATGATAGTAAGATAACAAATATAATTTTTTATGGATTAATAGAGAAATAAAGTATAAAAGTTCTTTTCTGTATATTTCAGATTGACAAAACCAACACAAAACAAGCACATATGTACTTACATAAAAACCTAATCACAATAATATGGTAGAATCTAATGGCAATATTAAGCAAGACACATGAATGTTCCATAAAACCCCTGCAATAAAGCATATACAAAATGAAGAGAAATTAGGCTACAAAGAATAGGAGCAGAAATAAGTCTTGTAAAACATCGAGGATGATTAACAAGAGTGGGGAATTTTTGGCCAAAGGAAATGTTTGGTAGCTACTGCTTTTAAAAAAAAAAAGAGTTTTAAACCATCACTAGCTTTCATTTCCACGTAGGTATTTCCTTGTCAGCCTCCTTGATTTTTTTGTTATCTAGCACATCTATTCCTTCTCTACAAAGAAGATAACCAGATACTACTTTTAACCAACAGAAAATACCATTAAGATCAACTGCAAATACTTAGGATAGTTTAAATAACAGAAGATAGTCTCTAAGTAGCCCATTTACTCTTTTATTTTTTAGATTCTATCTACTTTAGAACCTACTTGAGCAAAACTGACTGTACAGAAGTTTTCATGAATCATTTCTCACATCCAGGTAAACCAAAACATATTAACAGTCAATGACTTTGAGTTCTTAAACATCCTCAATTATGTGTTAGTCAACTCAAGCATCCATTATGTACTCAATAATAGGTATGACACAGCCCTAGACATCAGCAACACTATAAGCAGGCAGGCACTGGCTGCTTGCTCATACTGATTTTTCTGGTGTTAACATTCTTAAAAAGCCTGGGCAATAGTCACGAGATAGTGTCTTCTTCATTAGAACCTTACAGTAACACGCCATTAGATTTCTTTTTCTGTTTGTTGCAGTAATAACACCGTCTTGAGAAATAATAGCTAGCACAGTATCTTAGAAGGAGAAGAATGTAGGATGCTAGTGTGGGGACAAATTTCTAACTGCCAGTGATTGTTGTGAGTATCACAATATTTTCCTAAACATTAAAGCCTCTATCAAAGGTAGCTACAGTCATAAAGAAAAAAAATTCTTCAAACATTAAAACTGCATTAGTGTACATCATAAAGTCAACAAAAAAACGAAAAACACTTAAAAAAACACAGCAAGGGAAGCAGCTGATCCTTAGAAAGGCACGCCGTTGCTTATTATGAAGCATTTATAGAGTTGGATGCATTTTCAAAGCTGCTTGTAGTCATTCCACAGCATACTCTTGTGAGGTAAGTGTATTATCACCTTTGGTTCATAAATGAAAAAGCTGAGGCACTAATTGCTTAAGTCCCTAGCCTAAGGACAATGAGTCAACGTGAAGAGTCGTAGTTGACCCGCCTAACGACTCCTGACGGTCAGTCCAGGGCTTAGTCAGCGGGGCCTGGAGTGCTTCCCTGGCTGACACCTGGACTAGGCTATTTCCATTCATGTTAAGGCAGAATAATGGAACCGAGAAGACAGAGCTTCCAACTAATTTTGACTTCCACTAAGGATTTAGCCCTGAGGTCTTAATCTCAGGATTTAGGGCACGAACAGCTGTAGGGTGCACTCCCCCTCCCCCCAATCAGTGGCAAGTGGGTACTGTGGGCGGTTCCGTCTACCCCCTTTTGCAGTGATGGCAAAAAACGCTCACCAGCGTTAGCAGAGCCGGGGACGTGGGAGGTTGATTGCTTAAATAAGGACTTTCCATTGCCGCTTCTTTTTGAAATTAAGAGAAAATGGTGGGAGGTCAAAAGAAAACGAAATAAACACACAAGCAACTTGTCCTAGGACCTCAACTAAACAAATTAAGCCTTATTGTGTGTGTTGAGCCTGCAGTTCCAACTTTCAGGGGAAGATGGGAGGACAGGGCGACAAAGGGCACAGTAGGCATGCCTGGCAGTAAGTGCGACAGCAGCTATCCAGGCGGAAGAACAGGGTACTGAAAACCGCACGCGAGGGTCCGCCGCGCCAAGAACAGCGCACCCTAAGCCATCGACCACATGACCAGCCTTTTTTAAAAAAAAAATATACTTCTTTGACCTTAAAAAAAAAAAAAAGAAAAAGGGAGGGGGAGACTCCACTTCCCAGAAGCCTCTCGTTATTCACGCAGCCGCAGTCTTGCGCAGGCGCCGCCAGGGCTAAACGGACACGTCCGTCACGTGGACAGTAGCCGGCCAATCCGGTTTGAATCTCATTTTTTTTCCTTTCACCCCCCCTTCAGGAGCGGTTGTGCGATCAGATCGATCTAAGATGGCGACTGTGGAACCGGTGAGTATTGCCTTTGGCCCCCACCCCCACCGGTCCCCGCGCTCAGTCTCCCCTCGGACTGGGGGACTCCGCGGGACGGCGTTCCCGGCGCGCACGCTACCGCCTACCGCCCCCTCCCCCTCTTCTTGGGCCTGACCTCCCCGCGGGCAACTTAGGGGCGCCTCGGAGGCTGGCCGCGGCGGCGTGTTCCTCACACGTTCTGGTGGGGGTCAGAGCTGGGGGAGAGAACTGGGGGAGGGGCGGCGCGGCGCCTCCTGTGGAGCCACAAGGTGTCTGCAAGAGTGGAGGGTGTTCGGGGACCTGGAATAGGTGTGTGGGAATTGTGTCTTCGGGTTAGGAGGGCGCCGGCTTGGAGCAGGCGCTGGAACCGCGGGGAGGGTGGGCGGCGCGCCTGCCTGGAATGAGATGGAGGAGGGGGCCCCGGGGCAGCCTTTTCCTCCGTCCCAAGCCTCTGGTTGGGGGCGCGCGAGAGTCTTTCTTCACTAGTCGGGTGGGCTTGAGAAGCCGGTGGGCGCGCGTTGCCGGGGTGTGGGTTGGGCGGGAGTGGTGCCGCGGCACGCGCAGGGAAGCTTCGATCTCACCGAGGGTGGCGGAGGGCGGCAAGCGCGTGTTCTCTGGCGTGCCCGAGAGTTGCCGGGGTTAGCGGCCGGGGAGGGGAGAAGGGTTTGGGATGGGGAGGAAAAGCCGGTGCCGCGCGGTGAAGCTCTCTGAATAGGATGAGGGTTAGCGGTGGTGAGAAGAGGGATCATATTGTCCTCGCCCCTCCATGCTTGAGACTGGGCTGTCATGGAGGAGGGCAGGGGGAGGAGCGAGGCCTACTGAACACTGCTGCTGATCCAGTTGCCGGCCGGACCTGCTGCATTTCACACGCGCCTGTCTTCATTCATTCATCCTTTCCGCGTAGAGCGCACTCCTCAAGAGAAGGCGGAGGAGTCTGGATTCGTCAGCTCTCCCGAGTCCTTATCGTCTGGAACATTTCTAAAGAACAGTTTATTAGAAATAGGAACTTAGCTTTATAAGTTAATTTTCCCTTTGGTTCTCTTACTTTACGCATTCTCACAGGAGCTCTGCTTAATTAGGCACCATTTTAAACTTAGTCGAAACAAGCTGATTCTAGGGCAGAGAGTTGGTAACTACAGCCAGAGGAGAGGGTATCTTTGTCAGTTTGGGTTTGCCTGCTCTGGCTCACTGAAACTTCTGGGTCTCTGTTGCTTGTTTTAGTAATGTGACACCAAAATGACAATATTTTGGAAGAATAATGTGAGTATATTAATAAGCAACTAGAAAACTTTTGACACTCGAACCTGTTCAAGACCTTGGTTGCCAAATTTTTAGTTTATCTTTCATGGTAGTTTGTGATCTTGGTAATGATTTGCCAGTTTGCTTTGACTTTTTAAGAATTTTTATAACTTTAAAAAATTCTAGTCGCAGAAAGACCTGTAGAATACAATAAGGCTAGTTTTCATTACATTGATGTAAGCTATTCTTGTTGCCAGAATTTAAGACAGCTTTTCTGCTTGGCTACTTGTTCTTTCACTGGCACCAGTTTTCATTTCTGTTTCTGATAAATTGGTTGACTGCAAAACTGTCTCTTAAATTACTAATATGATTAACTGACATTAGAACACTAATGTTACATAAATAAAGAAGTAGAATAAATATGTAAAATTTTAACTAACAGGGGCTCTCACGTCCACTGTTGACTCCATCTGCTCTATCCATATTACCAGTGTCCTAAACAATAAAACAGTATATTCTGTGAAGTTTTAGTGGCATTTGGGTCCTTTAGACTTTGCAGCACTATGCAGTTTTGTGTCCACAGCACAAAACCACAAAGTGATGGCCTATTACGAATCCATAAATGTTTATAGCCATTAATATGTTTAGTACCAAGTGTTCTTAAGGATACAAAGTTGTGCAATATGTGCTTTTTCTATATAAACTCTTAATGAGCTTAATTCCAAGCGATGTGGTTAGTGGTACAATATAGTATTCATTCCAGTGCTGACCCTGAGGAAATTTGGATACCCATTGCCTTGGAGTTGATTCCAACTCACAGTGACCCTGTAGGACAGAGTAGAACTATAGGGTTTCAACGGCTGTAATCTTTATAGATGCAGACTACCACATCTTTCTCTCTTGGAGTGGCTGATGGGTTCGATCTGCAAACCTTTCAGTTAGCAGCCAAGCACTTAACCACTGGGCCGCCACTCCTCCTTGAAATGTGGGTAGTACATTTACATTTGGGGAGTAGAGGAACTTAAAAACCTGAAGTGTGTGCCGGTAGAAGCCAGATTGAAACTACTAGTTTGAAAGTATATGTTGAATAGTATTGAAGGCTTCATTTTTAATTAAAAATGCAAATTTTTAGTAATTTTAAAGCACCCTTGTTCACAGCTCAGTCACTTAGAATTCTTTCAACAATTTTAAATAGTGGGTTTTTTTTTTTAAAGCTGCTGATTAGTATTGTCTTGTAATTGAAGTACCCATGCTGAAGCCTGCAAAAATCTTATTCATTTGCTGTTTCAGCTAGCTTGTGAGTTTCCTTGTTGCTTTTCTACTGTGCATTATCCTAAGCACTTAAAAAACCATGGGTTTTCCTGTTTGTCCCACCTTTCATAGGTATTTGTGCAGTCTTATTCTATCAGCATTACATAAAATAGTCATAATCAATTTGATATCACTGAGTGATTTACTCTCAAGTGTGTGTGTGTGAGCTCAGTTATATTAAGATGTGGCGTATAAATATTTGTTGAGAACCTTGATGGGGCAAATTAAGGGAAGGGGAGCATTTTATCTCTTTACAGGTAATATGGCAAAATTCTGAACTTCGGGGCAAACAGTAGTCTCCTTTTATCCTGTTGGCATTTGAATTGTGTCTAGGTCGAAATTAAACTTAACATTAGTGGGTGAAGATGGCCAGGCAGTTTCGCTAGGCCTTCTTTCCTCCAATTGGTTATGTTTCTTTGTAGCTTTATCTTCGTTATGTGTGTGAGTCCCATGTGCATTTTATTGGACCCTTTTTTTTTTCCCTGTAAGAGATTAATTTTTGTTTCTTTAATTAAACTGAACATATATAATTTTACTTGTTTTTACATTGTACTTCTTGAATTTTTTAAACTGTACATAGTTTCATAAGTGAAATCAACTTTGATGGTCAGTTAATCTAATTTTTCCTTTTTTATTTAGAAGCATGCTTTGCATTGCAAAGAGTTTATTCGAGTAAATCAGGCTTAAATATTGGCAAATATTTAACACATATATTATTAGATAATTCAACTTTTTTGTTAACCAAGGACTAATTGACACCATTCTTACAAATGGGTGTTTTTGCTTTAAGAAGAGAAGCCAGTATATCAAAGTTCACTCATAAACTAAATACGTTTGGTTCTGGTGGTTATGTTATAAATTTCACTTCATTTATACTCTCATTTAATATTATGCATAATTATTTGACTTAGAGAAATTCAGTTTAGACCCAGACACAGTTTGCACACTAGTTGCAGAGAATAATATGTAAAATGAATTATGTCAGTTTAATCCAATTTGGAAAGAAAATTCTAGGCAAAAAACATTTTTATAAAATAGTCTGTTTAGTTTATATAAGGTTATCTTTGATAAGAATATAAGTACTGGCAGTCCTGGACCTGTGAGTTAAGTTATTCTAGTGGTGGGAATTTCTATCTTTTCTTTCTCTGCTTCTGGAAATTTCCTTGCTCTTCTGGTAACTGAGTTGCCTCCATCTTTGTCATAGACTTTTTCAAAAAGTGGGAATGAGTATAGATTTTAGTCTCATTTTAATATGTGTGGGACCTTGAAGACTGAAATTTCTAACTGTATAGCTGAAAAATGGAAGTAATAAAATATCTTACAGTGATTTTGATGTTTAAATGCATTATTAAAAATGATAATTTGTCAGTTGTCAAGATCTAGGTAAAGTTAGTATTCCATGAATATGTTATGTGCAGATGTATCCATGCATACACAGACTCATCTTTTCCCCTTTTCTAGAAAAGTCGTGTGGCTGTCTTTTACCAATCCTTGGCCATCAGCAGGAAATAGAGCTTATACCCCACAATTCTCAGATAAAGTTTTCCTGCTCCCATTCTGACTATAAACATTGCTAGTGTTCCTTCAAAAATCCCTATTCATGTCTACAGAAAAAAGGATACTTTTATCTCTAAGGTATTAGGTAGTCATTTCTAGGTACTTCTAGACCTTGAGGATGATCTGTTATTCTGTAGAAACAATGGGAAGCTGTGGTTTAGTCACATTGGGTTCAGTAAAGTTCTGTGGAGCAGTGACATATCTAACCAGCATGAGATTTCTAGGGATATGGCACTGATATTAAAAAATGACCTGCAGACACAGTCTGTTTGTTACACAGTGCTTTTTGATGTATACAGTACACCTACTTCTCACTTATCGACTATCTTGTTATCTGACACTTTGCATTTACAACAATAGTAAAAAGTCTGTTATCTGATTTTTTTGCACATTAACGACGTACATTTAGCAATAATGATGGCTGAGGTGCGAGACGAGAGTAATGCTGGCTGTGATGGTTAAGGCTGTGTGGCAGCTTGATTGGGCCATGATTCTCAGTGGTTCATCAGTTATGTAATGATGTAATTTGACAGTTATGAATGATGGAGTCATCCTCCATTTGTGATCTGGTGTGGTCATCCATTTTCGCTTAATTCCAGTTTTTTGCATAATGACCTGGTCTTTGGAACCTAACTATGTTGATAAGTGAGGAGTGGGTGTATAGATATTTCTTTTCTTTTCTTTTTTTATTATACTTCAGGTGAAGGGTTACAGAACAAATAGTTTCTCATGAAACAGTAGTACACATATTGTTTTATGACTTTGGTTAACAACCCCACAACATGTCAACCCTCTAACTTCTCAACCTTTTTTTTTTTGGTGAAAATACACATAGCCAAAGATACACCGTTTCAAAAATTTCTACATGCACAGTTCAGTGACATCAGCTACGC